TTGTCACCCTGCTTATTTAACTTATATGCAGAGTACATCATGAGAAATGCTGGGCTGGAAGCACAAGCTAGAATCAAGATTGCCAGGAGAAATATCAATAACTTCAGATATGCAGATGATGCCACCCTTATAGCAGAAAATGAAGAGGAACTAAAAAGCCTCTTGATGAAAGTGAAAGAGGTGAGTGAAAAAGTTGGCTTAAAGCTCAACATTCATAAAACTGAGATCATGGCATCTGGTCCCATCACTTCATGGGAAATAGATGGGGAAACAGTGGAAACAGTGGCAGACTTTATTTTTTCGGGCTCCAAAATCACTGCAGATGGTGATTGCAGCCATGAAATTAAGAGGCTTACTCCTTGAAAGCAAAGTTATGACCAACCTAGATAGCATGTTAAAAAGCAGAGACATTACTTTGCCAACAAAGGTCTGTCTAGTCAAGGCTATGGTTTTTCCAATGGTCATGTATGGATGTTAAAGTTGGACTATGAAGAAAGCTGAGCGCTGAAAAATTGATGCTTTTGAACTGTGGTGTTGGGAGAAGACTCTTGAGAGTCCCTTGGACTGCAAGGAGATCCAACCAGTCCATCCTAAAGGAGATCAGTCCTGGTGTTCATTGGAAGGAGTGATGCTGAAGCTGAAACTCCAATACTTTGGCCACTTCATGGGAAGAGTTGACTCATTGGAAAAGACCCTGATGCTGGGAGGGATTGAGGGCAGGAGTAGAAGGGGATGACAGAGGATGAGATGGCTGGATGGCATCATCGACTCGATGGAAATGAGTTTGAGTAAACTCTGGGAGTGTGATGGACAGGGAGGTCTGGCATGCTACGATTCATGGGGTTGCAAAGAGTCGGACATGACTGAGCAACTGAACTGACTGACTGATAGTCTGTAACTGTAACTTTTAAATATTTGAAATGCTCTCATAAGGTTTTTCTTAAATGGTTAGACATACTCAGTTCCTTCCACCGTTACATATGTGGGCATTGTTTTCCCAGTTCCTCTACTCTTCTGTTGGTGTGTTTTTTTTGGTCAGAGTTCCCCTGAAAGTGTTGTGCCCAGAACTGGACACACTGACCTGGACATGGCCTAACAGAAATCAACGTCAGGCTAAAGAGATTATTTTATATAAACTGCTACAATGCAAGATCTCTATTCTCCATTCCTCAAAACAATAAGCATCTTTAGTCCATGCTTATGGTAAAAAGCCCAAACAGTACAGAAGGTGTGCGTAGACAGTGGGTCTCTAGAGTCACACCTCAGGGGTGGTCACTCAGCTTCTTTCCAGAAACTCTGTGGCCATAAAACATAAATAAACTCTTCACAAACACAAACTGCTTTACTTTACATAATTTTCTGATTTCACTTTTGTCACAGACATTGTTCTATGCTGGTGTATAAAGACACTGATTTGTATTAATGCACCTTATTTTAACTTCCCCACACCACTGAGAGTTTTAGTTGTTTTTAAGTTTTGACCTGTTATGAACAAATCCAGGATGCACTGAGGCTAATCTGCAAAGTACTTTCAGTTCTCAAATGTAACCCTACTAGCCTTCAGCCTCCAGCCTTCTCCACTCTTTGATTAACACTCTGCCTATGAACTATTCTAGTTAGCTACTTGTCAAAATCATGAAAAACAATGCAAAATAAAAATAAGCAGCTCACAATGCCAATAAAATATGTAGATGCAGATGTACTAATTAGTAATTCAGCACTCTTCTAAGGGGCTGAGTTGCTAAGCTAGAACTTTTCTAATATGCCCATCATTCTCTGGGGAAACTGACATACTGAAAGTTCATCACAGTGTTCACTTGTTGTAGCTAAGAAAAGGAGTGAAGAATCATGGAATTGAGAAGTATTCCAGGAAGAAATGGTCAGCAAAGTCCTCAAGGATGAGCTATGAGGAAAATTATATTGTTGGCTTTGCTTAAGGAGTGAATGATGGGCAACAAAACAGGTGAACTGTATACTCCATTTGAGAAGTTAAAAATGAGGTTGCAAAAAAACAGTACTGAATCAAGACAAGAACTTCTATAATTTGGAAAGCAAAAGTAGGAAGTCAAGAAATACCTGGAGTAACAGGCAAATTTGGCCTTGGAGTACAGAGTGAAGTAGGTCAAAGGCTAAGAGAGTTTTGCCAAGGGAACGCCCTGGTCATAGCAAACACCCTCTTCCAACAACACAAGAGAAGACTCTACACATGGACATCACCAGGTGGTCAATACCAAAATCAGATTGATTATATTCTTTGCAGCCAAAGATGGAGAAGCTCTATACAGTCAGCAAAAGACGGTATAGGAGCCAACTGTGGCTCAGATCATGAACTCCTTCTTGCCAAATTCAGACTTAAATTGAAGAAAGTAGAGAAAACCACTAGACCATTCAGGTATGACCTAAATCATATACCTTACGATTATACAGTGCAAGTGACAAATAGATTCAAGAGATTAGATCTGATAGAGTGCCTGAAGAACTATGGACAGAGGTTTGTGACACTGTACAGGAGGCAGGATCAAGACCATCCCCAAGGAAAAGAAATGCAAAAAGGCAAAACAGTTGTCTGAGGAGGCCTTACAAATAGCTGTGAAAAGAAGAAAAGTGAAAGGCAAAGGAGAAAAGGAAAGATATTCCCATTTGAATGCAGAGCTCCAAAGAATAGCAAGGAGATAAGAAAGCCTTCCTCAGCGATCAATGCAAAGAAATAGAGGAGAACAATAGAATGGGAATGACTAGAGATCTCATTAACAAAATGAGAGATACCAAGAGAACATTTCATGCAAAGACGGGCTCAATAAAGGACAGAAATGGTAGGGACCTAACAGAAGCAGAAGATATTAAGAAGAGGTGGCAAGAATACACAAAAGAACTATACAAAAAAGATCTTCATGACCCAAATAATCACAATGGTGTGATCACTCACCTAGAGCCAGACATCCTGGAATGTGAAGTCAAGTGGGCCTTAGGAAGCATAGAGAGGGGAGCAGTGTAAGGAACTGGGGTCCCCAAAGGCAGGAAGGAGGGAGAGCTAAAAGAACCTTGAAAGCCTGCTGAGCCATTTGGATTGTGTCCTGAGGGTAATGGGGAGCCCTGGGAAGGTCTTAAGTCAGAGGGACGTAACCGCATCGATGGGTTAGAGGTCAAGACTGTACACTGAGAGATGAGTCAGGAGGTGGTAGTTGCAATGGGAGGAAGTGAGTGGACCTGAGAGATACTGAGAAGGCAGAACACGGAGGTTAGGGAAAGGAAGCAGGCAGGGGTGACCCAGAGTTCTTGCTTAAATGGTGGTCCTCTGTTCCCTACCAGAAGAAGAGGGGTGGCAGGTTAGGGGGTGGATACAAAGGTCCGTCTAGTCAAGGCTATGGTTTTTCCAGTAGTCATGTATGGATGTGAGAGTTGGACTATAAAGAAAGCTGACCGCCAAAGAATTGATGTTTTTGAACTGTGGTGTTGGACAAGACTCTTGAGAGTCCCTTGGACAGCAAGGAGATCCAACCAGTCCATCCTAAAGGAAATCAGTCCTGAATATTCATTTGAAGGACTGATGCTGAAGCTGAAACTTCAATCCTCTGGCCACGTGATGCAAAGAACTGACTCACTGGAAAAGACCCTGATGCTGGGAAAGATTTAAGGCGGGAACAGAAGGGGATGACAGAGGATGAGATGGTTGGATGGTATCACTGACTCAATGGACATGAGTTTGAGTAAACTCTGGGAGTTGGTGATGGACAGGGAGGCCTGGTGTGCTGCAGTCCATGGGGTTGCAAAGAGTTGGACACAACTGAATAACTGAAATGAACTTGGAAACCGCTATACTTTTGAAGGACATTTTGGCCTTGACATCCTTAGATGTCTATAGCGTATACTATAGGGTAGTGAAAATAGTCATGGTGTACAGAGCCAAAGGGCCCTGGGTTCAGATCCATCACGTCCTTTGTGGCTGTCTCATCACAGAGCTGAAACGCTACATCAGAGTCCAAGAGCTATTGTTACATGTAACCCAAACAGCTCTGTATTAATGCTGAAGGGTAACTGGTTTATTATTTACAGTTAGCAGCTCATTATCTGGAAGACAATTCTTAGACACAAACACATTCATTCTATATTCTCTTTAAACAGGACAGATATATACATTACTAAAGGACTGAGTAACAGACTACAGTGAGGAGTAATTCTAAGGGAAAAATGATCTCTATAAGAAAACAAACCACATTTCTGTAAAATTGAGAATAAAAACAGTAAGAAGCTTCCATTTTTTTATTTTTAAAAAATCAACTCATGTAAAATAATTCATCAAATCATAAAAAGGTGTAGAAACAAAAAGTCAAATATCAGTTTTAAAAATATCTGACACACTATAATGTGTGTATATGGTCTCTTAAATAATTTAAGATTAGCTCCATATTAAACACTCAGCTTTTCTCACATTGTTGCAAACCCAAATATTGTTCTAACCAGAGTCATAAATGGTCTTTTTAACAATATAAAGATGGAACTCAAACAGAACTCCTCTTAGCAGTGCCATCTTAACTTATGCTGCATTACCCAAAACAGTGGGTTTTCAAGAACCGGGTCTTTCTAAGCCCATTTTTATTTCTAAAACTTCACTATTCGATTATATTCATTGTAGAAAAATGTGAAGAAATGGAAAAAGTAAAAATTATCCAGTATCCCTCTTCCCAAATACAATAACAGAAGAGTGCATATATTTCTTTCTATTCTTTGTACATAACTATGTAGAATTTTAAAACAAAATTAGTACTGTAAAATGTTTACATATCCTCATTCCATATTATATAGCAGCAATGTGTTTTGTACATTATGTGAAGCCATGATGTTCAGTTGGCTGCTTCAGTCTAATTAAGAGCTTGACCATGATTTACCTCCATCCGTTAGATATTCAGATTGTTTTGAATATTTGCTATGATAACTATGTTATACATCCTTCTTTATTCATAATTTACATGTATCTCTGATAATTCCTTAAAGATAAATTCCCAGGAATTTAACCAGCACAAAGACTATTTTTTAAGCCTTTGATACATTTTAACCAAACTGCCCTCCAAAAAGATTATACCAACTTACAGTCACACCAGTAAATAGTCTAAGAGCTTTTCTTCTTCAAATTCCTTGGCAGCATAGGATAGGAAGATTACTACCTTTATTGTTACAGATTTAATAGGGGAATGGTGAAAGGTGTCTTCTTTTTTTTCTTTTCTGGAAATGTACTTTGCTTTCCTTCTGTTATTTGAAGCAGTCCAAGTCTTTGAGAAGGCATCTCTGATGAATGCAATGTCTTATCATGTCTTCCTTGGGCAGCAAGGGCATGAAAGCTGCATATCTTTTCTATGTTTTCTCAAGCAGGAATTCACAAAAGGACTGGAATTTCAAAGCCTCCTGGTCTTCTGGGCAGCCATGCTATATTAATGTCTTGGTAACAAAACAGAACACTGGGCTGTTTTCTGAAAGGAAGTAGGCAGAGATTATGATTAATCAAACAATTACTACAGGCAGGAATTCTCATGCTTGGGGGCATGATAATCACCTGAAGTGCTTATTACCACTTTGATTTTTATAGAGTGAGGACTCATGGGATATATACTTGATAAACTCTCCAGAAAATTCTCATGTTCACTGAAAGTTTAATAATCACTAACCACATCTGGAGTTTTGAGCATAACTCTTTTTTAACTATTAGTTCCTCATTCTCCTTTCATGTAAAGTGAGGTTTAGAATGTTTATCTCAGAGGACTGTTCTGATTCTCACTTATCTCCATCCCTGCCCTTTTACATCCACTAGGACATATTTTATACACCAACCCCTAGGCCTTTGTCTTATTCTGCTGAAAAATGCCATTGAAATTTTAATATGCAAATATCTCCAAATAGACTAGGAGCTTCACCATAACAGGGTCTTACATATCTGTGTCAACTGCTTGACATACAGTTGGTGCTCGCTAAGTGATTCTGAAATGAATTAGTGAATTAACAATACACACTTTAGTGTTCAGAGAGCCTTGGAATAAGGGATTATTAGTGTGGTGTTCCTTATCTGTTACAGAATGGAGGCCATGATTCTCAGTTTTGTCTAGAGTAGCAATTCTTCATTTTCTCTTCTACACATATTAACCCTTTTAAAAAATTCTGTTTTACACACTTTCAGAAGCTTCACAGAAGGAATAAAGAACACCAATCATCTCGTATCCAAACATTTTTACTTAAAAATGAAGCTGAAATAATAAATTTATTCCTTGACAAATTATCTTTGAAAGTTCAAGGGACTATGGTCAAAATGGGGTCAGAAACCTTAAAAAAACAAAAACCCCAAAAAAACCAAACCCCAGACCTCACCATCCCATCCTGCAGGTAACAGCCTCAGCAGCACCAAAAGTATGAATCACATTTCCTGCCAGTCAACTGTGTTTGTTTAGATAAGCCAAAGTCATGCTGTTCTATTGCATTACACTCATTACATTTCACCAGATGTAACTGTTTCTAGTTTAAAGTGACATTCTCCAATTCCTAGAACTTATTTTCTGTTCCCCTTTTCTTCATCCATATAAAAAGTTGCCTATATTTCAATTATGATGAAATAATTCATGAGGGAAAGGACTTATCATTAAAGAACATTTATCTCCTAAGTAGATAGGCTGAAACCAACAGACGTGTTTCCTGCTCCTTATGGATTTAAAATCTAGTAGGGAAGACAGATTACAAAATGCCAGTATTCCTGACTTTGCCAGTCCTCCAGGCTGAGAGACATTTTATTACACTGGTTTTCTGGAGCCTGCTTATACCAGCTTGTAAAAACCCATTATGTATATCACTTCCCAGCTTACCAGTGGCTTCGTGTTGGTAGCTTGAAATGGGCTGTGCAAGAGCATTTATGCCATGGCAGTCAGCAAACTACAAATCATGGCTCCTCCATGCCCAGCAGTTGGCAGTCATTTACTACCACAGTATCGTCATCACACTAAAACAGTGGCTGTCATTCCAGGGTTCCTCAGTGGTTATTCAGGTTGAGAGGGCTTTTATCAACTTTTCAAATCCTCTCTCAACTCTAAGACCTAAAAGTAGAGATGTATTCTAGGAGACCTTTGGATATGCTGGCTCCCCTCTTTGGATACTAGGTGAATATAACATCTGATCAATTTCAGCCAACCCCTTATCTAAGGTGGTCACAAGAGGTCCAGATAAAAACCACACATCTGAGCTCAGCAATCTACAAATCATATTCTGGGAATTAATACTAGAGTTGAAAAGCTACCAATCTGCAACCCTCCACTTGTTTATTACTATCTTAGTTTGTGTGACGCAACATTAACTATAAGTAGACAATCCCTGGCATCATTTTGGTATTGTATGCCAGTGTTTTGGCTTTAAAGGCTGCCAGTACTTAGCATGGATCTGCCAAAAAGAAAACAGCCTTGTCTACAATGTAATACAGGTACAGAGCAAACACTACCAATCTTCTGAAGTAAAATTTAGGGATACACTGCAAAGCAGGACAGTGTCAAGAACCTGACAGACTAGATAATAAAACTCCTTCACCTCAACTTTTAGTGCTCTTGTATTACCAGCCAGAATACATCTCTCTTCCATTTATGGTTAGTATGCTAGTAAATGACATGAAAACATGTAGAAAACATCTAATCTAGTATAAAATACATGAAGAGATGGACCAAGGGTCCAGTGGAAATTAGAGAAAAGGCAGCTGAGAGTCTATGGAAGTGTCTGCTTGCAGATGGAGAGGATCCTTACCTTCATGTTAAGGAGGGCTGCTGACCATTCCATGGATCCTATTTGAGGTATGGCAGTGAGAAGTAAGCTTTTGGCTTTATTGGCATTTTCTTTCAGGGTCTTTAAGACCCGGTCCACTGAAACCTAGAGAAACAACAGCACAGGACATTACCAGCAATTTAAAATTCCACTGCTTTCCACGGAACATTTTTTTCTGAGTTCTACCCAATCTGTTGAAGTCAGTTTACTCCCTAGAACTTAAACTCAAGTTCTGCATTTATCAGGGGAGAGGTCACAGAGAAATCCAATGACATCTCTGAAAAGCACAACTAGTTTTCAACATGGTGTCTGAGAAACCTTTCCAGTTGTATAATGTGTTGGCGCGGCCTAGAAAGCTTGTGGCTCTTCTCATGTGCAGAAAATGGATTCCAGTTTTAAAGCTGTTGCTATACTGGCTAAATCAAAAGATAAGAACATTTCCCTTTAGAGAAGTCTTTAAGCTAATAAAAATGATGGAATCAAAGTATCACCATTTTTATAGTCCCAGTGAATTAATGGATGGGCTGTTAACATCACAAAACCAGAAACCCAAACCAAACAGTCCACTTTCATGAGCTTCCTTGTGGATTATGACGTCAGAATTAGGTCAAATCTCTAGATCCTGCTGCCAATTTACAGAAAATATAGAACACTGCGAAACTGGATAAACCATCCTAAGGAGATGATTTCAGCAATTCAGACTGTGGGAAACTCTATAGGACAAATGACCTGGTTTCTTTTAAGAACACCTGGAAGCAAAAAATCACTTATGCTATTTTAGATAACTAGAAAATTGAACTTTGCCTGGATATATTAAGGAATTATTGTTGGACTGTGATAACGGCAATGTGGTTATGTTAATGTCTCCTAAAATGTTCACGGATAAGATCATGGATCAGTGTGTAGATGAAACACGTTTTTATGTTTATGACTGAAGTTGGATGTCAGATTCATGGATGCTTTCCCATTGCTTCTCTGTATGACTGAAATTGCTTCCTAAGGAAGCTGAAAGAAGTTGAGAATAAGACAGATGACCAGAAAGAGTACTTGTCATGCTTTTAACTATGCTTAGAAGAAACCCAAGATTCAGGAGCACCATGATTATACCTTCCTAGACCCCTCCCCCAATGTGGAGATGTGTTTACAACAAAATGATAAGCACCGTAGCAGAGAGGAGTGTCACCACTGTGGGAGGGATCACAGGACAAGGTGGCGGCCAGCTGGGTGCCTGCCAGGTAGGAAACTTCAAATGCAGCATTGTGAAACAACCAAGAGACTTATTATATTTTACTCTTTTCCTCATACTTTGTGACTGCTATTTCTATATAGAGTCTGACCTCCTTTTCCTCTGTTTTTGCTGCTGCGCTCCACCCAGAATGTCCTTTGTGCTTTCTCAAAATGAACTTTAACTTGGTCAACATCCCACTTAAATCTCAAAAGTTTTCTTCAGAAACTACATCCCTCCACCATTCCATCATGCCTATCATCTGACTATGACCCTCTTAGGAGCCAGTACTATACTGTGCATGCTAAGTCACTTCAGTCGTGTCCAACTCTTTGCCACCCTATGGACTGTAGCCATGGGGCTGTCCATGGGACTCTCCAGGCAAGAATACTGGAGTGGGTTGCCATGCCCTCCTCCAGGGGATCTTCCTGACCCAGGGATTGAACCTGTGTCTCTTATCTCCTGCATTGGCAGGCAGGTTCTTTACCACTAGTGCCACCTGGGAAGCCCTAGTACTATACTAGTGGATCCTATTTATCATGTTTAATTCTTCCAGTAATCCTACAAGGTCAGAAATGTAATTAACAACCCCCACTCATGTGGAAGGGTTAAATAACTCACCCAATATTACAAGTAAAAAGAACAACGGAAATTTGAAGAAGGGGTTAGGCAACTCTAGAACCATGCCAGGCTGCACATCTGGTTTAAAGCACAGTGACAAACATGACTGACTGAGATGATGCCATCGTTGTCTATGCTTTCCTTGTGGCATTTAACATTACTTGCTTTCGTGCCTTACGACTTACACAGAGCTTAGTTTTTTTTGCTTTTAACTGAAGTAGCTCCAATTGACTGTTTTCCAAACCTCATGTGGCCTACTAAATGAAGCACCATTAGCTCTGCAAAGGAGACAAATGTTATGAGACCATGCAGAAAGCCACAGGCAGGAAGCAGTCTGCTCTTGGGGAATGGCAGAGGCTGGAGTCTCCTATTAACTGGAAGCAGCTTCTTAACATCATGAGGCCGAGCTGCCCCGGAGGTGACCAAAGCTGCCAAGTCAGAGACTATGCTGGGTCAGGATTTGCAAATCTCTTAAGTAATAAACATCCTCAAAGAATCTGTGTTCATCTATGACCTAAATTCCATACCCAGGGAAGGAGAGGCAGCTAGAATAACTTAGCTCGTTTTACATGAAATTGGATGGTGAAACAAGCAGCTCTGAGGTGGTGGTACGGTCCCCCTAGAGAAGATGTCACCTCCCCTAAATGTGTCCACGACAGCCACTGCCATACTTCTTCGTTCAGAATTTCTTGGCTGCAGTTTTGTCCTTTTCTTTTTTTAAAATGAGATAAGTGATAAGACAAATGATCTGGTTTCTTCAAGTAAAATGCAAGGAATGAATAGGGAGAAGGAGAATATTAAAGATTTAAGAGGCTTATCATTCAAATACAATTGTGTGGATTATAACGGATCCTGATTTGAACAGTTAAAAATTATGAGACAAGAGGGAAAATGTGACAAGTCTGGACATTTGATTATATTAAAGAATTAATATCACTAATTTTTGTACAACAGTGGTGGTGTGGTTTTAAAAAGTTATTTTTAAAAGGGAGGCCTTTTAGAAAAATTTACTTTAAAATCATGAGGGTAGGGGAGAGAAAACTGAGTAGGGGCATATAAATAAGTCAAGAGTTGCCACGGCTGATGATTGTGGGAAGGTGGGCAATGGGTAACTGGGGGGTTCATTATACTAAACTCTACTTTCGTACAGGTTTTGAAGTTTTCTACAGAGGAAATATTTGTTTTGGAAGCCTGACCTCAGTGGCCCACTATCCTCAAATACCAGCTGAATCTTTCTGTTTTTTTTTCCTACTTCAAAACCCTCACTGACCTCCCATCTGAAATCCTTACATAGTCTACATGGCCCTGCCTCCCTCTTCCCCTCCTCACCGCTCCAGCATGGCCATCTGTCCCATTACACTTAGGCCAGGCTTCCTGGATGTCAAGTATTTGGTTGGGCCAATTCAATACATGCTTTTGTATCTTACCACACCATTTCTGTGTAACCCCGAGGCTTCTCACACTGGTTTGTTTGACCTCTACCCTGTTCCTTCAAAACCCCAGAATGTTGGTTCCCTATGGACTTGTGTCTGCTATTGTATTTTTATACCAAGCACAGTACCCATCCATGGCAGGTTAGACATGAATACAAAATCCTCTTACCAGGAAGAGGTACATTAATAGGTTTCCCTGCCACATAATAAACAGGACCATAAAGAACTTATAACCTAAAGTCTTTATCTGTAACGTAAGGGCCAGTAAGTCTCAGTAAGATTCCCAACACACCTACATGTTTACAATGTACTCTTCCCTGTTGATCCTTGCATAAGTGTCCTTTCATTCTCTATGAAGATTTTGTTCTTCCAATGGGAACTACAGAGAAAAAAATCTGGTAACACCTAATGACAATGTATAAAAAGCTGACTTTAAAACTTGGTATAAAGGCACTTTCTGGAACTAATGTAATAGAAACAAAGAGTTAAGACACTCTTACTGGCTCTCATGGCACATGGAAACCCAGGCCATACATGTACCAAAGAGAATTCCACTTACCGCTTCCTCATGCTCCTTCCAGCAATCATAATCTGTTGCCATGGCGATACTTGCATAGCAAATTCCAACCTCCTTAGCAAGAACCACCTCTGGAACTGTGGTCATGTTGATAACATCCGCCCCCCAGGTTTGGAACATGATGCTTTCTGCCCGGGAGCTGAAACGAGGTCCCTCAATGGTGACGACTGTCCCTTTTGAGTGGCACTTGAGTCCCAGCTTCTTAGCAGTCTCTATGAGGACCTGGAACAGAAAGAACCAAACTCAGGACACACAAACAGAAGTTGAGCTTTGTTTTTTCTTCCCTGCTACTTTAAAAGATTCTTACTATACATACCCAGTACTTGCAGGCCCTCAAAGAGAACCTGGGAGATCACAGAAGGGAGTTTCCTAGCTCCCTATCCATTTACATAATGCTCTGTCCCACCCAGCCTTTGCTGCTAAGTCACTTCAGTCATGTCCCACCCCTGTGCGACCCCATAGACAGCAGCCCACCAGGCTCCGCTGTCCCTGGGATTCTCCAGGCAAGAACACTGGAGTGGGCTGCCATTTCCTCCTCCAATGCATGAAAGTGAAAAGTGAAAGTGAAGTCGCTCAGTCGTGTCCGACTCTTCGTGACTCCATGGACTGCAGCCCACTAGGCTCCTCTGCCCATGGGATTTTCCAGGCAAGAGGACTGGAGTGGGGTGCCATTGCACAGCAATAAGAGCGAACAGTGGGCTTTTTCTTTACACCAGGCATTTGTTTACATGCTTTAATCTCACTTTTTAGCTGCTTTAATAGATTATCATGGACTGTGAATGTGGGCTTCAGTCTGAGCTCTTAACCTTCACGGCTACACAAGGCGCCCTCCTCATCCACGTCTCAGAGATGTGCAGAGTGAAGTTTCCAAGCTCCTGAGAAACTCATTCTCATTGCTCTTCTATACAAAACCTGAGGGCTTTTGTGAAAGCTTTTTGGGGGTAGTGCTTTCATAATCTCTTTGCCTGCTGCCTCTCTAAAGACATACAGCAGGAAAAAGCAGAACGGAGCTATGCTGATTTCTTCTATCCAGAGATAAACTTATCTTGGCATCCCTTTAGAGGCAAGGCCATATGAGTTTAGAAACATGATTTAAAAGTTTGATCATTTTTTCTAGTGTCTAATAATGTATATCTAATTTAATTTCATTTTTCTCTTACTCTGTGCTTAAACATTCCTGTTTAACTGAAAAAAAGTTAGTCCTTTAAACTTAACTGTTAAAGTACTGCCAAGAATTCACTTAACCTATGTCTTAGTTTTTTCATCAGTGATATGGGAGTAATAATACAATTCAGAGATATTGTGAAGATTAAATGAGCTAAGGAGTATACTTCCACTTCCTTGGTGGCTCAGATAGTAAAGAATCTGCCTGAAATACAGCAGAAGCAGGTTTAATCCCTGGCTTGGGAAGATCCCCTGGAGAAGGAAATGGCAACCCACTCCAGTACTCTTGCCTGGAGAATCCCATGGACAGAGGAGCCTGGTGGGCTACGGTCTTTGGGACTGCAAAGAGCTCGACACAGCTGGGCAACACTTTCAAGGAATACACAGCAAGGAGTGCCCAACACAATATATAAATGCTTAACTGCTCTTCTAATTATCTTTTTTATTTAATCATTTTGGCTGCACTGGGTCTTGGTTGCTGTGCAGGCTTCTTCTAGGTGCAGCGCCTGGGCTTCTCATCGTGGTGGGTTCTCCTGCTACGGCGCACAGGCTCTAGGACGTGCGGACTTCAGTAGTTGCAGCTCACCGGCTCTAGAGCATGGGCTCACTGGTTGTGGTACAGAGCTCTAGTTGCACCGTGACACATGGAGTCCTCCCAGACCAGGGATCGAACCCATGTTCCTTGCATTGGCAGGGGGATTATTAACCACTGGACCACCACGGAAGTCCTCTTGAAATGATTAACACTGGCAGCTTCTACACATTTCCCAAGTAACTGGTCAAAGTTCCTAGGATACTACATACAAAATGGAGTGACTCAAAGTCAATAGAAGGCTCCAATCTCGGCCAAAGTCTTGCCTGCACATGTTTGAACCACACAGGCAAATTAACCTATTTCCTTAAAAATAACATTAGGCTATGGCAACAGAAGAAAAAATTTTAATAAGAGCCTTGGCAACTCTAAATTTAGAACCGTGACAAGCCCTAGCCAATGACTAGTTGATGCTCCATCATGTTTATTTATCCTGTACATGCTGAAAATAAGACTATGCTAAATCAAAACTGTTCCCTAAGGAGCATAGGTTATAAATAATAAGCCTTATTCAATCACTCATTCCCCTGCTGTCCCCACCCGCTTTCAAAATTAAGGTATAACCAGCCCAGTCCTGTCTTCATTAAATGTCTTTAAAAGTCCCAAATAACTGAGCTGTATGTCTTGGCCAAACTTCAGAGTGCTTCTGAAGATGTGTGAAGGAAGATCACAATTATCGCAAGCCAGTGGCATATGGCATGTAAGTCTTCACCATCACCCTGGGGTGGGTACCACGCTGGGGAGGAGGATTGGAGGCTTATGGGCATGGCCCAGCCAGTGGCAGACACTGAGGGCTTGCCATCCGAAGCAGCACTTTGCACTCCACACAAACAGATAATGCCATTGTAAAGTGCCAGAAATACAACTCCAGCCTGAGAAGTCTCTTTAATGTATCAGGACTTTTTGAAGAAATTTGTTTTAGATTACCTTTTGACGAGAAGTGACACTTGTTTTCGGAATAGGTAATGCTTGCACATGGTACAAAATGTAAAGAGTACAAAGGCTCTTATTCTGTGACAAGTATTTCTTCTGCCTGTATGCGAGGGGTTCAGTTTCCCCGTGGGAAATCACTGTTACTAGTTCTTTGGTCAGCTTTCCAGAAACACTCTATTTACACATAAATATTTTCATATTTATCTCTTTTATATACACATGCATGAATGCTCAGATGCTCAGTCATGTCTGACTCTTTGTGACCCTATGAACTGTAGCCTGCCAGGCTCCTCTGTCCGTGAGATTTCCCGGGCAAGAATACTGGATTGGGTTGCCATTTCCTCCTCCAGGGGATCTTCCTGACCCAGGGATTGAACCCATGTCTCCTGCATTGCAGGTGGATTCTTTACCGCTGAGCCACCAGGGAAGTCCCTTATATATACACACATATTTAACACAAATGATAAGATACAGTACAACCACTATGTACCTTGCTTGCCAATGGACAATTCATCTTCACAATCTGTTGTCAGTACACAAAAGATCACAAGAATACTGAAAGGTTAAGTGATAATTACCAAGGGGCAACACCATCTACTCTTTACATTTTTGGATAGTATTTTTAAAATCCCTTTTAGGGTATATAAGAATAAAATAATATTCTGAAAGCCTCTCCCCACCTCCCCATTTTCTTAAACTGCCTTCCCTAGCACTCTTTAAAATCGTTATGTGACGGTCCTTAGCTTGGCTAGACTAATAATAGCTGAATTAAGTCAGTCTCAGAGGCCAAGCTGTATTACTGGAAACTGTCACTCAGCCACAACATTTACATGTACTCTGAACACCTCACTAGTACTTCCCTCACACACCTCTACCCCTAGCACCCAAATCACTGGGGCAGTACCTCAGATTTCCTAGTAACATGCATATTCTCTCCCTAGGCTATTTCTTCCAAGCTTCCCCCAGTCTGAAGTGGACAAAAATGTTATTACGCACTTCAAACTTCTCTTGGAGAGCACATGTATTGTGTGGACAGATCTGTGTTTCACAGATTAAGACTAACATCATTCTGATATATTCTGCTGATAACTGCCCAGGAACTTGTACAGTTGATCCTTGAACACACAGGATTGAACTGTGTGGTCTATGCTTACATGGAGTTTTTTCACAACAGATTCATGCTACAGTGCTGTTCACTCTGGGTTGGCTGAATCCTTGGACACAGAACCGCCAGATATGGAGGGCCAACTGTACATTTATACTCAGACTTTCAACTGCATGATGGGCCAGCACCTCTAACCACACCCCACATTGTTCAAGGCTCAAATGTGTATCTAAACTCCTACTTAAAACTTAAAAAAATATGCTTTTACAGAAGTCACAAAAAATAAACATGCAGTGATATATCTGAAATGGCTCCCTCCAAAGCCTGGCTTTGGACTCTAGATTTCTGAGACCAGAGTGAGGTTATTTAAGGCACTCTAGCTTTGCCTGTAAAGAAGCTAGTTTCACATGATTATGCAAGGTTGAACATAAATCTGTGTTTCACATCAGGTGATAAAATTATCTGAATGATTAACATGTTTAAGTATTTGTATTGTCTAAGTTAGTAGATTTTACTAGGCAGTTTGCTTCTGACAGTACTTCTGACCTACTAGGTGGCATTTGACTTTCAAATTTTGGGGTTATAAGAAAAGTACCATGGATGGACTTCTGAATTGTGGTAGCCATTTTTATTCTCTGAAAGCGAAGGCTGGGATTTCTCACTGTATACCACCACTGGCTTTTGTAAGGGATGCCTCTACAGTCCTGAGATCTTACTATAATCCTGAAGAGGAGAGGAGGCTGGATAGGAAAAGTCAAGCTCAGCTCAAAGGCAAATGATGCCAATCTATTTATAGATTATTAATAATTTAATTCATAAAAGCAGTTACCAGTCACTAGATGTCTTATAACTGACAGGCATCACTCAAAGCACTTTATAAGTAAGTTAAAAAAAAAAAAAAAAAAAAAAAAGGCAGGTTGCAACTTTGAGCGATTCAGTTTACAGATGACTGAGAGTAGTGGAGGGATTATTAACAAAGGGAAACAACACTTCCTAAAACTTTGCATAAGCATCAAACTAGAGAGGAGAAGAGAGACCACATGCTTGGCCAACTAATCTGTCTGTAGATGCCACCCCAAGCCCTCATGATTTATTCTGGCGCACCTTCCAGAAAGATTACGAACCTCTCTTGTTTTAGGGCAGAATGGTTCAGCCATTGGAATATGGCACACTCCTCGGGCACAGGAATGATTTCCATCATAGAAGGTCTGAAGCCTTCTGGTAGTCCTACAAAATAAAGTAAAAAAAGTTATTTTTTGAAAAAATTACCTCTCCACCCTTCAGAGCTTGTAATCAGTTGTATCTAGGTTAGTATCTTGGTCCTCACTCTAGAATCCATAGTTCTGGATAAGCTGAAAGAAACTGTTTAAAAAAAGAGAGAGCGCTTCTTGATGGTACTTGACTTTTCTGGCTCTGGGTTGGTAGCAACCTGCTCCCCAACAGGAGTTAAAGTATCTGTGGTCTGGTGACTGTGACAGGATAACCACATTGAACATCAAGTCAACTGTGGGCTCAAGAGGCCAGGTATGAGCATTTTCCGTCATCTCAGATCCAGAGGATTGTATAGTGAACCCCTTATATATATTTAGATTCAACAATTTCCTAAATTTTGCCAAACCTACTTCATTTATTGCAAATCCAAGACTTTGTCACTTTATCCCTACTTCAGATGGACTAAAGTATACGGATGATTTTCCATGGCAATGTCATTATCACAGTTGATAAAAATGACAATTCCTAAGTATTGTCTAATATACAGACCATGTGCCAATTTCCCTGGTGTCCTCAAAAAATAAAAAATCTTTTTTCTTTTTTTAAAAACTGTTGCTTGGTTGTTTCATATTCCAAACAAGGTCCAAGGTCCAAATTTTGTTTGCACTTGACTGCCCTGTCACTAAATTGAGAGTAACTCCTGCCCTCCACCCTCAACCTTATTTTTTCATGCCTTTGATCCATTGAAGAAAGCAGCCATTCACCCGGCTCTGCATTTTGAAGCATCTGTCTCTGCTGTCTTGCTTAAACTTGTGCGTCTGCCTGCCAGAATTAATTCTAAAGTCTCATGAAAGTTCTAAAGTTAACTTTCTGATAAAACATTTTTGAGTCCATAAGAGAGTCCAAAATGAACCCAGTGCCAAGTCACCCAGCAACTTCTCTCTCAAAGTTTTCAGAATAAAGCACTTTTTATATCCATTGCACTGTTCTAAACTTGAACTCATGAGTAATATAGGAAAGAGAGTCCTCATTTTCCTAGAGAGGGGAGAGCAGCGTAGCAACAGGGCATGGGAAAAACCAACAGCTGAAGGTACATCACTTCATTTCTACTTCTACTGGGAGGGTAGAGAGCAGCATGGAGAAATATTCTGGTTCAGTTTACACAGCTGGCACATCCACCTTTCAAAGTTAGCCTGTTACTTCCTCTCCATCACACATTAAACGGTGATACCAGCTGGCATCAAAGCCACCTCTCTGAGATTAGGCCTCAGAGCTTGGGGAGGAATGAAAACAAAGTCCATGCTCCTCTCAACCCCCTTATTACATGAGTCTTAAGGGAAAGGCTAAGTTAACCCCAAGCAATTCCAGATGGGGTTGAAGAACAGGTCAAATGACTGTTCCAGCCTATATAAACAGAGGCTTTTTTCTTTTTGTAAAACTGACTAATAAAATGGTGCCACATAGTCCAGCTTTGGCTTGGTTTCAGCCTTCAGTGAGTCAAATATTAGCAATAATCCTATTTACAACCATGATTAAGTGTGAAAACAGGGCCACGGAACACTTCAGGGGCTATACCCCAGTAGACACCTATGCAGTAACACCCATCTTACCTATTCTGTCCCTCTCTCTCCGTCCCTTTTTTGCCTAATTACTCCTGTCTCTGTTCTGAACATTTACATTAAGACATCACTATCAGGCTTCCCAGGTGGCTCAGTGGTACAGAATCTTTCTGCCAATGCAGGAGATGCAAGAGATGCATCTGGCTTGGCAAGATCCCTTGGAGAAGTAAATGGCAACCCACTTCAGTATTCTTGCCTGGGAAATACCATGGACAGAGGAGCATGGCAGGCTACAGTCCATGGGGTCGCAAATGAGTCAGACCTGACTTGGTGACTAAGCAACAATAATAATGTGTTAATTATCCTTTATGTTATGCTATAAACACATGATATTAACTACCTACAGTTTTAAAGTTCCCTCTCAGCTGGAACATTTTACATTTTTCTCTTTAAACAAAGTTCCCCAACTTCCACCTCTATGGTTTATAGCACAACCACCATATCTTTTTGATTCTTCATTTTCCAGTTATAAAATGTAGTGTTCACCACCCATTTGTAAGAGTGCTATGGGGATTAAGTCAGCCCTGAGGCCCAGCTACCCCACGGCAGCTCAGAACTGAGGTCTGAGCTGGAGACTGAATCAGGAGTCAGCACCAAGGAGAAGCTGTAGCTGGCCCTCAGAACACCCAGCCTTGCAGGAGGGGTAGCGCCAAGGAAGACCTGGGGACTTTAATACCCATATGTCTAATAGTTTCAGGGTTATACTCTTAAGATCTCAGGAAGGAAAATGCTGATGAGAAACATCTCTTCATGCAGCTTGCCCACCTAGTCATGGTGTTCTGCATAACTCAGATAGCAATACATTCAAGTAATGATCTGAATTTAAATCACTGTGAATACTCAGATACTGCATAAAATGAGGCATGATAATGCTGAGTGAAATTCAGATCAAGAACAATGAGGTATGCAACCACAAGTGAAGGGACTGAAGGGCACCACCCAAGGGAAATTCTAAAATGAAAATACAAGTAATTTTAAGATCTCTTATCCTCCCCCTGAGAACTTTAAATAGAAGTCACAGGTTCTGCAAGTCTGCAAGAAGCAAGGGACATCCCACACAGTGGGAAATGTTACCTGATGGAGCCTGTGTTGACGGGGACTCCTTCCTGTTCACTCCTAATTTCTAGTAAAAAAAAAAAAAAAAAAACTCTTCCATAGACAGAATAGTGGCTCATCCTCAGTTCTGTACATGGATTTCAATCTTGTTACTGATTTTTCATGTGTCCTTGAGCATATTACTTAACCTCTGTGAGTTCTTTCTTCATAAGGTGAGTATTAACAACATACACTTACACCCTTGTTTAATATGAAAACAGAGTCACAGAAATCTCCAGTAGCTACACCCCAACAGGCAGATGCAATAACTCCTCCATTTTTTTTATGTCAAATGTGTGAGTTTGGGGATAAACAATTGTTACAAAGCACTACTACTATGAGGATCAGTGAGGGAACAAAACATCCGGCACACAGATTCACACAAGTCACATTACAGATGGATGCAGGTGCAGCAGAAGCAAGCATATGGAGCCCATCAATGGGAGACACCTGCAGATTTCTCTAGATCTGGAGCAGTGCCCAAGTGAGCATCTTTTCCTGATAAAAGGGGCCTTAATGGGATATCTTTTTCCTTCCATCAAGAAATAGAACTGAAATACATTCCTGGGCCATAGGAAAAAAATTAGCCTTAGACAACATCAGACTGGCTGGATCCGTTGGGAAGCAGTGTTCTAGACTGTGGGCGAGAGAAACAGGAAGGATCATCCAGTTGCTAGAAGCAACCTAGCCCAAGGATGATAATTTGGGGGCAGTGGCTCCATCCTACCAACCTGTAAAAGTGGCATGTGGTAGCAAGCAGAGTAAGGCCTCCCCAAATATCCATACCCTAATGCCCAGAACATACATTGTCTTCCCTTGCAGATGGAAGGGGACCAGGAGCCAAGAATGCAGGTGATGAAGAGCAAGGAAAGGGATTCTCCTGAGCTTCCAGAAAGGAATTCAGCCCTTGATTTCAGCCCACTGAGACCCATGTTATACTCCTACCCGGCAGAATTAGCTAATAATATGATGTTGTTTAAGCCACTGCATTTGTGGTAATTTGTTACAGCAGCAAAAGGAAGCTAATACATGTGCTCATATGGTTTAACCTGGTTAACACAGTGTAATTTCTCTGGTAATAAAGATCTGATGCCAGAGGTCTGCCTCCAACTCTTGCTTCAACTGGTGAACCCTCCTAGCGGGGCAAAGGGACTGCTAATTCTCACTCCCAACCCCACCATCATCCTGGGACACCCACTGGAAATACACTTCAGGGACTGCCCAGCTGGCTGGCTTTACCACTCCCTGGCTAGCTGTGTGCCTGCAGGAAAGTCACCCTGACCTCTGTCTCCCCCAGTCTCTTATCAGTCTTCTCATATTTAAAATGGGGGCACGAAGGGGAAATAGAGTCAGCGTGAAGACAGAGAACACACGAAGCAAGTGCTTAGCCCAAGTAATTCCTGCCGGTCGAAGATCTGCTTCTGTACTTCTCGTCTGCCAACCTCTGAGGGTGACTTGTACGTGGGCCTCAAGTCAAGGGTACTCCCCCAAAAGGCATATGTGATAAGAAAAGTGAGAAAACAAACAACAAGCTGCCGTGGAAGAGTGAAGGAGACAAAATTATGGTGTGTGTTGGCAAGGGAAATGAGTTCAAGGCCATCAAGGGGAGAACACCAGGCACTTTCAGACACAGCAGGGAACAAAATGCAGAGAAAGACTGACTGGCAGGTTCTTTCAGGATCAAGACCCTTGAGTCTGCACACAAAGATTGCCATCTGTTAACAGTTTTCCTTTGAAGAAATGCTGAGTTGCAGACAAGTGAGAGAAAACGCTTGTCCCACAGCAGGAACACACACCTGCACACTCCAAGGCAGTTCTGCAGCGCAGGGCATGTCTGTAAGCCTCAGCACACAGGGACACCAGGCAGTGAATCTACCAGCAAAGCGGTGCCAAGGGCTCCTGAGGAGGAGCTTGGTTTCGGGGAAATGATTCCACCCACATCTCTTAAGGTCTGTCCAGTCTATCTCAGGAGAACCCCTAACTGAAAAATGCATCATTTGGTGCAGTTATTCTTAAGATTACAAATTGCAAAAGGGTAAGGATAGAAGGTGAGAAGGTAGGCTGCAGAGCAAGGACAAGAGCTAACCTCACACAGGGAACTTCAAGGACAACATGATGATGACAAACAGGGATGCAAGTAACTGGTGAAAGGGAGGGTGAAGGACGACGACGTGTTTGTGCCTAAGAACATCTGTTTTCTTGTAAAGAGGCAAAACTTTCAACCAAGAGCGAAGGATATGAGCAGGAAGCTGTGGGAGAACAGAAAGGTTTTAAAATAACTGCTGACAGGAATGGGAGAAA